CGGCACCCCAGTCACGCTGCATCGATCATCAAGCCAATGCGCGACACACGCGTCTGCCAATGTTTGTTCTCCACTTCACCACACAGTCGCTGACAAATTCCAGCCAATCGCTCACGACTACCATCGACCGTCAACGGTGCGCGTCCCCGCGCCGGCCGCGTCGCGTCCGACGCCGCGCGCCGGGCGCGGCCGTCCGGCAAACGGCGCCGCCACAACAGCCTGCTTATTTAATCCGGACAGCCGCACTGAGGACCGCCGGCTGCGAAACAGTGGCGCCGCGTCGGCGGTCGTTAATAGAGGCGTCACGCGGGCCCGGCTGCGTATCAAGATCGCCGGCGCCACGGCGCGCGCGCCGCCGGAATAGCTCGGCGCTGGATGGTGCCCGGTAACGCACGGCCGGTCCGCAGCGCTACCCTGACGACGGCCTAAAACCTTCCGGCTTGGCTTTTGCGTTTATTGTTTACTTTATTTCATGCAGTTCTTGGCGGGGGAAATCGATGAAGTTCCAAGTCGATCGCAGTAAATTTAGGGAGTTTATCATAGCAGGGACCGCTGAGATCTGTGCGAATACAGTCTGTTTAAAAGCGAAAAACAAGTAACGATTCCCCCTATAGGCGCGCGGCCACCTTTCTCATTCGACTTGAGTGAAAGCGACGTTGAGGCTGGTCCGTCGTCATAACAAGCCTCCCTGCCATTGGCCCTGTGCCTGCGGGATGAGGTGAGTGACTCAACTCACCGCCGCGCTGGCCTCGGCAGTGGGCGGAGCTTAGGTCCGGCTCCGCGGCAGCGCCGCCCTGTTCGAGTCGCAAAATTCCATTACGCCTGCGGAAACAAATTGCTATTGACTGTCTGACTTGACCAGAACTTTTCTAAAATCGCGGCGGGCTCTGTTGGATTCGACTCGTATTCAATGCGATCAAATCAAAACTTAGGCGATACCCCCTACAAAAACCAAAGGCTCGAAGCCAACGCTAATAAGGCCGTTAAGCGCTGTTTGAACGCGCCTAACGGAAACTGGACACGGCCGGAGACAGGATTCATGGCAAGGTGAGCCCTGGATGGAAGGAAGTATCATGTGGACTGCGCCCTGGACACGTACCGACCGGATAGCCGACCGCCGTAGTCGGGTTGGCTATCCGGGATAGCAGCAATCGAGACCTGGGGAAGACAGGGAGCGCAGCTACAAAAGTCTTGTAATGGCAGGCTTCACCAATGGGACATCCGTCCAGTCCCTAAAGGTCTCCGCCCGGTCGGCGGCGGTCTCTGTCCGGCCGGCGGAGGTCTCCGTACCGCCGCTGACGGTCTCCGTTCAGGCCGACCGGAGCCGAGGCCGCCGCCGCCGCCGCCTGGGCACCACCACGGAAAGCGGTCGGTTCCGGCGGCGCCAGGTGAGTGGCGCGCACCGGAAGTCCTCGGGTCGCTCACCGGACGGCGCCGCCGGGCCCACGGAAGCGCGTCTCGGGCGTCGCCGCCGCTGTGGCCGGGCGTCCGACGCCGCCGTTTAAATGTTCAAACGGACGGGGTGGGCAGGGGGGGGGGGGCTGGGGAGGGGACGGGACAGGTGGTCCGCAGTCACGGGCCGTGGCCACCGGAGGGGGAGGTCACGGGCACCTGGCGAGCGCTGCTCGTCAGCTGGGTGTCCCCGGATGGATGGGAAAGGACGCGGCACCGGCCGTCACGGCCGGTCAGCTCCGGTGAAGCGGCAGAAGGGGAGCGTCATCACCGGCTCCACGTGCCCTGTCGACTGACGTTTCGCAGGTCCTATCTGAGCAGCCCATCTGCTCCAAACAGAGCCGTGTTGCCTGAACCCGGCCTACGGATAGCTTTGGCGCCGGCTTGTGTCTGGCTCTGGCGCCAACGCGCCGCCACAGAGCCCCACTGCGTCTCCACGGCAGCGCCCATGTGCCTGAGGTACTGCTTTAAATTCGGTCACGATCACGGCTCTGACAGCGGACCCGGCAGCCCGACAACCGGCGAGGCTACACAAACAGCCATGTTGTTGGGCCTGACGCTGTTGTCACGTCTGTGTGACGTCACCCGGCACCTGGATGCAACACGGAGCACGACATCCAATCAGCTGCCGCTTCGTCCGCGTGCCGTTTGCGCACAATTAACTGGTGTTGGTTATCAGTTGCGGCGCGCTGGCAAGGCCGGCAAGACGCGGAGCCGCCCGGCGCCAAGCGCGAATTATAATAATGGTTGATGAAGAGCTGATGGTTCTAATCGGTGCGGAGGTTTTTACTGAATTCGCAAACGCTTTCTTGTGGCGGTAACGATTCAGTAATCGTGAGAAAAACACGTGCCCATCGGAGGGAATAAATCAAGCGGGTCAAATTGAGGCCGCGCTTGCGCGATGCAAAACACCGGAATCATCAATAACGTACGGAAAAAAACCGGCGTCAAACGTAAAACTGCGGGGAAAAACACGCCCAATTTGAGCGGCATAAGTCACTCAGACGTGTTCAGATGCCTCTCCTCCCACACAGCGCCGGTGGCCGTGACAGCCCCCTTAGCGCGGAGACAGGGCGCGGAGCTCCTCTCCTCCGCGCGGCGGCGCGGCCTGCGGCGGCTCCCACCAATTGCGTGACGATGGGCACCTCCGCCGTCAAAACAGCGCGGGACGCCGCGGCGTCGCCGCTGCCTCCCTTCCGGGCGGCGGAGCTCTGGGCGAGCTCCCGTCGGCGGACAGTGACCGGCCGGCCGGCCGGTGAGGGATGACCGCCGGACCGGCCGACACGGCGCGTCCCACGCCGCCGGTAAATGGTGACAAATTGACAGCACGCCGCTCCGCGCCCGGTCAACAGCTGCCGGTCCGGCGCCAACGCCTCGCGCCACCGGTTCGAGCCAGGGGCGCCGCGGCGGTGAAGTCCCAGCACTGGCGCCAGCGCCGTCAGAAACGTGCGGTCCCAGCCAGCACCACGGTGGTGTGAAGTCCCGCCCAGCGCAGCATCAGGAGTTTAGTGCCGGCCGGTGGTGTGGAGTCAGCCAGCGCCGTCCAGTCAGGTGATCAGAGAGACGGCGGAACGTGAGAACCCGAGGCTCAGCCAAGACGCTGTAAGAAATTTCAGTCTCAATAAGGTGCACCCGAACGTCTGGACCCGCACGTCTCCAATGGCCTTCTCTCGATCCAGATCCAGATCCGTGCCTGTCTTCAGATCCAGACCCCTGACGGCCGCCACAGGTCGCCAGCTCAGCACCAACTTCTCCCTGGGACCCGAGTCCGCCGAGACCCGGTCGCCGTCAGTACCTCCACCCAAAGGTGTGGGCTGTGGCACCCAGCTCCCGGCCGCCCGACCGCCGGTGGCGCTTTTCGCGGCGTCCGCTGCGCGGACACGACCAACACGCCGTGCCCGCGTGCCAGCCGATGAATTAGCCAGGTGCGAAACCGGCACCGATGACTCGGCCTTTCTCGGCGCTGCAGCGCGGCGCCGGGCGACATCTGCACACTTTTTCGGCGGCTCTTAAACAAGCACGCGCCTGCAGCGCACAAAAGAGCGACGTGGGCTAATATTGATCCGGCGATGAGAAACGTCGGCCGTTGTGCGCACCCGGAGCCGGCGGCACGCCATACGCCGAGCGTGCACAGCGAGCCGGAGCGCTCGATGGGGATCAATCGGGGCCACGCGCGTCCGGGCGCGGCTGACGGGCCGGCGGCGCGCCTCGGGGTCGACCCCGGGCTGACCGGCCGCCGGGCCGCTCGGGTCATTACCGGCGGCACACATCGTGGCACGTCAGGCCCGAGTACCCTGCAGCCCGGGTGCTCAGTTTCAATCAGCGATCTGGGGAGCGCGGCCCGGCGGCCGTGCGGCGTGTGCGCCGATTTCAATGATGCAGCACGTCGCAAAAAGCGGCCGGCACGTTTCGTTTACATGACAAAGGGGACGGCCGGGGCGGCAGGTCGGTCCCTCCCCCTCCCCGATCACGTGACTGGGCAGATCAGCGGACATCCCGGGACAATGCGCCGGCTGGCCGGCCACTAGCGCGGCCCTCGCAGACCTCTCAATTACGGCTAACTAAGCCGATAGTGGGCTTATCTCGACCGGCACAAAGGCGTCTGATTACGTGGCAGTGGCAAAAAGCGGGTCCTCGTCTTTTAGACTGCGAGATTTGAGACTCTCTACTCATATCCGGTCGACTGCCGGCGCCTGGGACGACTCTGACTCAGCGGGGGGTCGGTATCTCGGCATCGGAGTACATTCGATCCAGCCGGCCGGGCCGGGCCGGGCCGAGGCCAGCACCGCTCTCCCGTACCTCCAGACCCGACCCGGGACGCGCCGCAGCCGACGGGCGCCGTTACTCTGCCGCATCGTGTCGAACCTCGTAAATGTCGCGGCTCACTGGCGGGAACGTTGGTAGAAAATGAAAATGGTGGGCATTTTAGTATCTTTTACACGAAAGTTTTCCAGGAATTATGCCGGCCGAGCATCGAGGGGCCCTCTTAAATTTGTTGTTCAATATAGATAAGTGGACACGTGGCAACAACTCATGGTGTGCGGATAATGCACAGTGGAAGTGCGCATAAAAATATATAAAATGTCGGCGTCAAGTGTAGAGTACATACACGTCCCTCCTAGAGTTCCTGGCATGCGCAGGTCACGACGCCAAAGGTCTCGGAACACTTTCCCTCCCACAGCCCGTCTGGCCAGGTCACCAATCAGCATTGCATTGCCCAACAACGAGATGGGGGAGGCCCAAAGGACAGATCAGTTGGTCCCGTTGACTGTGCTCGACTCTTGAAAACCCACGCGAGTATCCGGCAGTTAACATCGTTGTCCTGTCGAGAAGCCTGACGTCGCCCTCCGCCACACTTAACACTCTCCAGGTCCTCCCGGCCCGTAGCGCGAGGGCACACGAGAGGCCCTGCTCCCACACGGATTGGCTGACATTTGCCAATTTGCCTGCCCTGTGTTTTCGCCGGTTTTTGTGGAAGCTCTTACGCCGGGCGGCCGCCGTGTTTACGCTACACCCGCCGGGAGGCCGGCGGCCGTTTTTCCACGTACCCGGATCAGGAGCGTATTGTTCTTGGTGTCGGCTGTCACGCTGCTGATGGTGTACTGCTTCTGCTCGAAGGTGGGGATATTCTCGTTGCGGCCGTCGCCGTCTCCGCACCTCAGCGCCTGCGGGCAAACGTGCGGGTCAGTGCACGCCGACACGGGAGAGCAGCGCGGGCCGAATCAATGCCCGCAGCCGGCACTGAGTCGTTCAGCCGCGCCGGCCGTTTACGAGTGCAGCCGGCGGCGGGCGCCGTCTCGTAAAGTAACGCCGCGTCGGCAGCGGCGCGGCGCGGCGCCGTCCGCGCTCGGCGTCCTGGTGCGGTCAGCGGCGATCTCACACTCGTCAACCGCCGGACCGCGGACCACGCCGGACCGGACCGGACCGGACCGGACCGGAACCCACTGGTTCGCCGCCGCAGCGCTGCAGGAGATGATCGAGTGCCGTGAGAACCTGGCGGAACAAAACGCGCCGCCAGTTACCGCGGTCGCACCTGCACGGGCGCCGAGGCGGCGCCGGCCGACCCGGCATGGGAGGCGCGCGCCGCTCTCAGCCAACGGGAACACGCAGCGGCGTCCGCAAACGGTGGGAAACACATGTAACGCACCCAGAAAGCTCTTGGAGCTACGTAAATGCGGCTGCCGGCTGCTGGGCGCGCGCGTCTTTCCGCTAAGTAATTGAGTTTCCGCTCATGGAGCTTTGTGGAGGGGCAGGAGAGGGTGTTCGTGCCCTCTCGGGCGGCGCGGGCTACGTGCCCGGCCCCGGCTGGCCATTCACGTGCGCAGCGTGACAATGTGGGGTGGCCGGCGTGACGGCGGGGTGCCGCCACGGCCCTGACACCCGGTCATTATCGGCGCCCGGCGGCATTCAGGCCCGGCCCGTGACGCGACCGGCGCCGTGATCGGACCTCGCGCAGGCTTCCTCTCCGCTGCGCCTCAATGGGTGTAATGCGATATTAGCCGATCTCTCATGACACAGAGTACCGTTCCGCCCATTCAGCTATACAAATCCCGGCCATTGAGGCAAGCTTGCCTCTGAACGCGCCTGCATTTTGTATTTTTTCCGCGGCAGAAGCGCCGCCGGCGATACGCCGACAAAAAGGGGGCTCCCGCTGGCGTCTTTCACCAAGGCCGGCGCGTGAAAGAAAATTTGCACCTCAAAACCCTTATTAGATCGCTGTAGAACCACTTGTGATTGAGCACAATCGGAGCTACAAAGCGGCAGCCTTGTACGGGCCGGTCGGAGCGCGAGTCAAGCGGACGGGGGCGGGCCGCCTGCGCCGCCGAGGCTGGCCGGGCCCGGAGCCGCCCGGCACAACTCGGCCACAATGGGACGGACGACACGGGTTCCGCCAGAGAGGCGGAGATGAAGGGTGACAACGCACTTAACCCACAATGGCTGTTTGATCTATTTCGGACGGCGTATTGGACGACTCGGACGGCGTGTGGATTGAGTTCTTCACTCTCCAGGGCGGACGGGGAGGGACATGGGCGGTCTGGAGGAAGGTTCAGAGAACGAAGCTGATGAGTGGCCTCGGCGGGGAGTAGTTTTGGGGTTAGTATGACAGCGTGTGTTGAAGAGCCGCATAGGTATAGTTCAACATTTGAAAGCAGACTTATGCTGGCATGTTTCCTGGCCTACCACTGACAGGCTGTCGATGACGCTTCAGTGCATTCACTTGTCAACAGCAACGCCAAATCACGAGACAAGTTTTCGTTTTCTTCCTCTACCTGAGCTGTCAACGGATCGATGCATGATCTAATCATCCTTTAGCGACGCCACATGCACGTGTGTGAAACAGAAACTGCGCCTTGGTGATTGATGACGCGTTCACTCACGTTCGGGGCTCGATGAAAGCTTCGAATCATTTTCCATCTGTTCACGATCCGATTTGTCATGCCGCGAGCATGCTGCGTTTCCTTCCTCGCTATTTGCTCGCACTTCCTGTCAAGTGTTACTCAAGCCCTGCGCTTCCGGCCTGACGTCAGTCGCACCCGGCGTTTGCTCGCTGGAAGGTTGGTGAGCGAAAACGCTTCTGACGCCTGTTGCGCGTTGGCGGAGATTTGTGAGATATCATAACATGCTTTCTTCAGGCTGCCTTTCAATGTGTGGTGAAGTATTGTGGACACGTGAAGAGAGGGCAAGGTTATTGCGTGTTATGCATTAACCCAACATAAGCCCACGTTAATATAGCATAAGCCCACGTTAATGCGTGTTTAGCATGAGCCCAATGTAAGCCCACGGTAAAATGTCAAGCGGAATCCACTAAATCACAGCAGCTCCAGTTATGACATCACGACGAGATGAACTGCTATTACACGGACGGCGCTGACATGCGTCTACCCCGACACCGCGGTTGCTCAGACTCCGAGACAAACGGCAAACAATGTGACAAACCGGCGCTGAGTCCCTCTGGTCACCGGCGGCGCGTAAACAGGTAGGCCGCCCACTCGTCGTCTGCGTCGGCGCCCACACAAGCCGCCAAGCCGGCGCCGGTGCCGCTTCGCCCTGCGAGTCCCAGCCATCTCGCTCGCCGCGCCCCGCCATCCATCGCCATGACGGCCGCGAAGGAGGCAAAAAGCGACATCAGACGCGTCCTCCGCCCGCACCGGGTCGGCCGCGAGCCGCCGCGGCGCCGTCCCGTTTTGACAGCGTCGGACTCCTCCCGTGACACGGCCGTGGCCCCGGCGACACCGCATCGATCACCGGAGGCGGCTCCGCCCGAGCAGTGGCATTATCTCGTCGCGATGCCGGCGGCGCACAGGTGATACCCGCCCGCGCTTCCGGCGGCCTGTAATCCGTGTCCCTTTCGACAAACAGTGGCGGCGGCGGCGGCGGCGGCGGCGGCGGCGCCGCCGCCGCCGCCGCCGCCGCCGCCGCCGAGCGCGTGCGCGCGCCGCCCGGCACCCGACCGCGGTTACGGGTGACGCCCACGGCGCCGCCGGGTCATGACCCGGGCTCGTGATGGTGGCCTCACGTGCGTGCTCGCGGCGACGACCGGGGGCGGCCGGGTTGGCATTACGCCGGCGGTGCCATTTGTTGGCGTGCGCCCGTTTCTCCTGTCCAGCCGCCGCAACCAGGTGCTGTAACGCGGGTAGGCGCCGCGGACGGACGCCGCGGCGCGCGCAGGCCCGGTCGGCATCGGTCGCCGGGCCGCCTGAAGCACAGTCTTGGCTCGGCTCGGTTCAGCTTGGCGCTTCACTCTTTCCACGGCTGTTTTCGCCGAGCGGTGCCAATTAGCTGGCGCTTAGTCGGCGAAATTAGCCGCCGGTTAGACGGCTGCGAGGTGGGCGCCCGCTGACGCGTCCGCCCACGTGGTCCCGTCCGTCCGCTTCGCCCCGAGGACGACAAGACATGCTGAGCTACACGACAGGAAGCGGCAGACTGGCAGGTCACGTTCTCTACGGCGACAGATGCGGACCCGGCAACCCGGACGCAGCGGGGATCGGGTGCACGGGCGACGCGCGAGACGATGAGGCTGCAGAAAACGCCGCGCGCGTGACGCGTCGGAAACGTCGCCGCGTGGGCTCAGCTGGCGATGCAGCAGCAATGTACGCCGGCGAAGACAGAGCAGCGTCTCTCCGCACATCACCCGTCGGCCGGCGACTGAGCTCTGCTCAAGCGAACAGAAACTGGGATGCAAAGTCAGCCAGCTTGATCTGGGAATGAAAGCGCCGGCGGCATAAGAAGCATTTTTACGTACAGTGAGCCTCGCGTCGTTCTATGCGACCCTCAGTGACTTACGGCACACGCGATGGAGCTCGCAGCAACCTCTGAACGGACCCACAGCATCTATTCAGTCAAAGAAAAACGACTCGCACATATTCATCCCTGAATCAACGTCACGTGAATGGACAGCTGAGCCCCGAGATTGCTGCCCAAAGACTTCACACACCGCATACCGCAAGGCGTTCTCAAAATACCACACTGGCTCACAGAAGGGCAGGCCAGCACAAAGCGGGTAGTCCCCAGAGGTGGGAGTGTCAGCCCACCCCCTCTCAGCCGACGCCAAAGATCTCCTGAACGCTGCGCGCGCGTCACAGTCGCCGACGGCTTACGCGGCACAGTCGCGGCTTAATTGGCGCGGCCGTATTGCGCCGGTGGCGCCACGGATGAATGCGCCCTGCGCGCGATAACTTACGGCCCGGCCGGCGCACACGCTGTTTTTGCAACGCCGTTTACGCTGGATTCAATTCGGATCTATTCAGGCGGCGTGACGGCCGTCAATTTATTGCCGCCGTCGGACGTCGCGACTCCCGACATGGCCGACAACAGGCCATTGGGAGGCAGCCGGCGCTGAAGAAAGGGGCACGGTCAAAGCCGGGGTCCGACGGCCATTCAGGCGACACACCGAGTACGCCTCGGGCCGACCGTTTTATTGCGTACTCCGGCTCCAGGGATGCGCAGAAGGAATGCGCCCTTTGTCGCGCCGAGTACAGCGTCAAAGGCCCGTGAAAACGGAGGCTGAATGCTACGAAATTTACGAAAATATATCTGAATGCGGCTGTCGGCCCGAGTCACTCGAATGGCGCCTGGACGGGAATGTTTCATAAGCGCGTCTCTCTGGCGGCCGGGCCGGTCATGAATGTGACGCGGACGTTTCGATCCGGCGACGCGGCCGGGTCCGATTGGGCGGATGGTCCACCGGTCACAACGGCTTCCACCAGTCACCACGGCTTCACCGGGCGCCACGGCTTCACCGATCACAACGGCTTCCACCGGTCGCCACGGCTTCCACGGACCACCATGGCTTCCACCTGTCGCCACGGCTTCCACGGACCACCATGGCTTTCACCGGTCACCACGGCTTCCACCGGGCGCCACGGCTTCCACCGGTCACCACGGCTTCCACCGGTCAACACGGCTTCCACCGGTCACCACGGCTTCCACCGGTCACCACGGCTTCCACCGGTCACCACGGCTTGGCCACCAGCCGAATTCCAATATGCAATCAGAACCGCGATGAATACGCCCCTGGGTACCCTCTCACTAGTGTTGTGACTTCGGGCCCTCGGTTCAACTTGGGAGCGCAGTGGGACCGTCGAATGCCATCGAAAACCACGTTTTTGGGGGCCGCACAGGTGCCTGGTTCGTGACGGAATGCAACGGCCGCTCCATTTCAGCTGAAGTGCTCGCTGGGGTGGGGGCGCGCGTGCGCGCAGCCGTGCAATAAACCTGGTGTCCATTCCTGATGAGGCCTCAGCCGCCACTGCACGCAAGAGCCTAGCACCCGTCACCGCGCGGAGACAGCGGCAGCAGAGCCGACAAACTGCACCTGCCGGCGCCGCTCCGAGCGCGCCCAGGCAGCCGGCCGGGCGGCCGGGCGGCCGGGCGTAGCAGGCGGCTTCACACGAGCTGACGGCGTGACCGGCGAGCGCCCCGTCCCGGCCGACGGGTGAAGCCCCGCCCCGCGCCCGCCCGGCCGGCGCCCCCGGCATCCCCAGCACACCTGGCGGCGGGAGCTCCAGGTGGCTCATCACCGGCCTGCAGAAG